AAATAAAAATTACCTCCCTGTAATTCAACTAGGCACAGAAAATATATTTCATTTAAGTCTGCTTGCTTACAAGGGGAGATAGATTCAATGTTTGTAATGGCTCAACCATTCCCAGTCTTTATTCAAACCGGATATGATTGAGTCTAATTCAAATATCAATTCTAGCTCAGCAGTCTCTCGTTGGAGTCTGTTTTTGAAGTTTTTCTGTTGTAATATAGCCACCCGCAGGTCTGTCACTGAATGACCAGACAGGTTAAAGTGTTCTCCCACTTTTGAGTATTTTTTTTTTTTGAGTATTTTGCTTCCTGATGTCAGATTTGTGTCCATTAATTCTTTTGCGTAGAGACTGTCCGGTTTGGCCAATGTACATGGCAGAGGGGCATTGCTGGCACATGATGGCATATATCACATTGGCGGAAGGGGACGCAGGGCATCCTGGGTCCTGTCCCAATACCCCGTGATGCATTGCTTTGCATCCCAGCAATCTCTGTGCTTCTGTCCACATTTGGCGCCATCTTTCAATGGTTTGTGTACTGTGTACACTGCCTCTTCGGTTTGCAGGAATGGATCCCGCACTGTTGACTGACATGCTGCTCGCTCTCACTAACACATCATGAGTGGCAGTGGAGTTACTCCTTAAACTACAAAGGCAAGAGCAGTTCTACATTGATCTTGCCACGTGCAGTAGCTACAACAGGAGATTGCTTGTGGCATTCACGGAGGTGCTGATTATAGTGGAACGCCGTTTTAGGGTTTGGGAAACAAGCACTGAGTGGTGGGATCACATCGTCATGCATCTCTCGGATGACGAGCAGTGGCTGTAGAACTTTCGGATGAGGAAAGCCACATTCATGGGACTGTGAGATGAGCTCGCCCCAGCCCTGCGGCGCAAGGACACGAGAACGAGAGCTACCCTACCATTGGAGAAGTGCATAGCAATTGCACTGTGGAAGCTGGCTACTCCAGACTGCTACCGATTGGTCACTAACCAGTTTGGAGTGGGAAAGTTGACCGTTGGATGTGAGTTGACGGAAGTGTGCAGGACCATTAATCACATCCTGCTCTGAAACACGTTTCCCAGAGTCACTGTCTGTGACATTGTGGATGGCTTTGCACAAATGGGCTTCCCTAACTGCGGAGGGGCGAAAGATGGCCCGCATATTCCAATTCTGGCATCACACCACCTAGCCACTGAGTACATTAATTGGAGGGAGTATTTCTCAATGGTTCTCTAGGCGCTTGTGGATCACTGTGGGCATTTCACTGACATTAACGCAAGCTGGTCTGGAAAGGTGCATGACTCATGCATCTTTCGGAACACTGGCCTGTTCAGGAAGCTGCAAGCAGGGACTTTCTTCCCAGACCAGAAGATCACAGTAGAGGAAGTCGAAATCTCCATTATGATCCTGGGAGACGTTGCCTACCCCTTAGTACTGTGGCTTATGAAGCCATCCACAGGGCACCTTGACAGCCGCAAGGAGCGGTTCAACAACAGGCTGAGCCAGGGCAGAGTGACTATTGAGTGTGCTTTTGACCATTTAAAGGCCTGCTGGTGCTGCCTATATAGGAGGCTGGGCCTGGCCGATGACCATAGTCCTCTTTAGTTCTTCATGGCCACTTTCTAATTCTGCCAACATTTTATAGAAGCAGTATTGTTTACAACACAGAGACCACTGATTCAGTGATTTAAAACACAGGCTGACCCCAGGCAAGCACACATGAGCCACAAGACCCCCAGAATGGTGAGTAATTGTAGGGGCAGGGGAAATTAGTGTTTCAGGACCATACTGTACACTGCGCACATAGCTCTTGGGAGAGCCAGCACTGGGGGTGGGGGTGGGGTGGGGGGAAGAGCCTTATAATCATTACTGTCAGCACATTTTCCCCAGGTGTGTTAATTATGGAAGATATCTCGCTGCTGAAGGTGAGCAGGGAATCAAGGGAGGGTCTTCTCCAAAACTGCGGCTTCCACCCTGGCCCTTATGCAGCTCACCTGTGTGCAGCAACGGTCCCCCCCATCCCCCCGTGATGGCAGAGTGGCATGGGAAAGTTACCATTAATGGGGCAAGAAACAAAGCAGCTCTGCCAAAGAACCTGCGGCAGCGGAGTGCCCAGTATCTCCATGAGAGTTTTGTGGAGATCTGAGGCAGATTCCCGTGAA